AACTTTACTTCCCCTGCACCTTTGCCATCTTTCAAGAAATGGTTGAGATGCAGGGAAGGCCCGTGGGGGCAGCATGCCACAGAGTTGTGCTCCATTAAGGCAAAAGCTCTCTGTGCTTTGTAGCATCAGCCATAGACCGAGCGAGCCACCACAGGGACAAGTTGAGGCTTGGACGCCAGGAGAGTTGAACAACAGAATTAGCCAGTCTAGAAACCTACCATGGCTGTGAGGCCGCCAAGCTGTCCCGGCAGCATTGCCAAGCCGGCCCAGTGTGGTACCCCCGCCGTCTGGTGGAGCCCGGTCAGACCTCGGCAGATGAGCGTAAGCTTGTCCTGATCCCTGAGGACGAGCAGGAAGGGAGGACAGGATCGCATGTGAGAAATGTCTGGATGGGTAGAAGTCCAAACTTTTTTTAAAAAAAGGTTTATTTTTTCAATTTTATTATGGTGAATATGTACATATATATAACAAAACATACTACACTTTTAAGTGTCCAGCTGAACTCCTGGAGATGGGGATGTTGGTAACCCCATGCAGCATGTAGGTCGAAGGTGCTGTCCCGCCCACCTTCTTGCTTAAACAGAACTGCACTTGATTCCCAGCCTGAAGGAGGTTTGGGGAGAAGAGGGTCAAATGAGAAAGCCCGTTGAAGTGACTGTTAGGTTTATGGCATACACGAGGTGTTTTGCTGGAACACAGCCTAGAGCTTAAACCCTGTAACTGGAAGTATAAAGTTCATAGAAACTCAGGTGCATGAGCCTGTTGTTAAGATTTGACAATTTGTGTTATGAAAATGCACAAGTATCCATCAAATATCATGATTTGATGCATAGCTTTACTGAACCTTCATTAATAAAGGAAGGATCGATACTAGAAGGTGGTGAAAGGAAGCTGAAAACAAGCCTCGAAAGAAAATTTGTTGAATTTGTAGTTTTGCATAAGATCCTTGTGATGGCAGCTACACCCGTGTGCTTCCAGAAGTCTTCTGTTTGCTTCATTGTCACTGTGGCCAGGAGGGCACATGCTGATGTACTCTGTACGTGTGAACAGGAAACAGAACACATCATATGCTTGTAATTTGTGTATCCAGGGGTTCCTCGGAAGCGATACATCAGAATATACATCTCCCCTTAAGACTGAGTTCTTATAAGGAAGGAACTGGGCAGGCTTCTGTATGGAGCCTAAAGCATTATGAGTTCTCTCAGAAAGCACCAAGTTCTGTGACAAGAAAAGAAGGTCAGTAAGCTCAGAGATGGCCCCAAGACCAGGGCTCCTGACCTGTTGAGAGCTGAGAAACAACAAGAGTAGACACGGACAAGTTAATGAAGTAGCTGGAAGAATGCAAAAGGGTGCAAAAGAGGGGTGTGAGGAAGGGAAGAGGATTAAAGCTGCAAAAACATCCCTCTAATAGATTTCTCAAACACACCAGCCGACAGGCAAGGGCAGGGGTCCTGTCAAACCATTTCCCCATGAAACCCAATCTATCGCTTTGCAGGGAGGCCTGCTGGCCCGTTTGTGATTGAAGAGCCTGTCTCCTGAGCCCCAGTGAAGCCGGCTGAGCCACCCAGGGAAGGGATGTGGCCAGGAAGACGGCTTTGCAGACAAAGGGGCCTGGGAACAGGCTGGTTTCCTTCCTATATGGCCAGCTAGCGCTCTTCTTTGCCTCTGCCTGACGGCCACCTGGCTGATGATCGTGGAGTCTCCACCCCTCCTGCCCTCCTTCCTGCCAGATTCACTGGGAAAGGAGGTAGTTGGATTTTCCGATCATTCACCAGTTTGCCACTCTGCCTTTGATCCCTAAGGGAAATGAAAGTTTTGCTCCAACAGCCCAACTGGGAGCGCCTGTCTAGTGAAGCGACAGCTAAGGCTTAAGCTTAGTTGACGGGGAGGAGACAGGGCCAGTGAGCAAACTGCTGCTTGTTCGTTTTGAAGCCAGGAAAGCTGGTCTGCCATCCAGGGAGCTGGAAGCCCAGCTAGGGTGCCCTCGGTCCTGCCCACACGGGCTGTGGTGCACATGTTGGCATTGGAACAGAGGGCTGTCCAGCAGCAGGGTGACAGAGCCCAGCCTTGTGCCTCCCCTACCAAGCAGCCTGCTGTCTCGAACCAGCAGTTGTCAGGGTGCAGAGGCACCCGAGAGGTCGAAGGAGGCACGAGGTCCTCTCGTCCTGGGTAGTACAGCGGATGCATGCGGCAGTGCGTGCTCTGCGTCTAGAGAAGCCCTCAATTAACAGTGGGGCCAGAGCCCAGGGCCAGTAACGTGGAGATGGCATTCTGGTGCCAAACTCATTTCAGTGGCTTGCGTCTTTCTTGCAAAATGATCTGCTAGGTTTAAGTGTATTCTTGCCTGAAGCAAATTTCCTTAGAGTGATGCACAGAAACAGAGAGGAAGAAAAAACAGAAAACCTTGGTGGAGTAGTTTCGGGTTTATTAGACCGTGGAAGTCAGTGCCTTTCAGTGACTCAGGAATTTTCTGGATGGCCCTGAGCAGGCAGTTGCTCCCAGCTTGCTTTGTGGGGAGCCTCTTGACGGGGCAGGTACAGCGCACACTGTCCTGAGGGAAGATTAGGGCCTTTGCGTTTTTTTAAGTGTGTAGCTTTTGAAAAGCAAAGTTAACAAGATTTAGCTAGAATACATGAGCACAGCCCATCCACCTCTCCCACAGTCCCAACCCTCCCCCTCTCTGAGTGAAACCTTCTAACTGTCTTGGCTGAGAGGCTCAGCCAGAACTGGCTATGTAATTCGCGGGGCCCAGTGCAAAATGAAAATGCAGGGTCCCTTGCTCAAAAATTAAGAATTTGAAGATGGTGACAGCAGAACATTAAACCAGGTGCGGGGCCCTCCCAAGTGCAGGGCCCTGCAGACTGCATAGGTTGCACGCCTGTGAAGCTGGCCTTGGGCCCAGCCTTCCCAACTATTTATTCATTCAGCAAGGATTTAGAGAACATTGCTATATCCTAAGTACTGTACAGTGGGGCTCAGGACTGGGGTGCAAAATTAATAGGCTGCCCACCAAAAATTTGTAATTTAGTTAGGGTCAGATACCACACACACAAAATTAAATAATGATGAGATGGTTATTTAAAAGCCCAGGATGTCCTACACCCACCTAAAGGCAGGAATATGTGAGAGGTCTCACCTTGATCGGGGGCACTGCTTGTTCAGCCTGGATAGTGAGACGGGGCAGCGGGAAGAGTGAAATGAATCAGGCAGTCTGACATCATTTTTGCCACACCACACAATCCGTGAATAGTATGTGTTTGTTACTCCACGTTCGTTAGACCTGTTTCATCCCTTTCCTGGGACCCCAGAAGTAACTTCTGTTTTCACAATAGCTTCCACTGGCCGTGCTTAGGTAAACATTCACTGAATATTTGTTGTGCTAGGCCTTTGTCCTTAAGCTCACAGTGTAGACCAAACCCAACTAGGGCTTTCGAGTTCATAGGCAATGTGAATGGTCACCTCGTATCCTGACTTGTGGGGCCTTGCTTCCAAGATATTCATTCATTCATTCATTCGGCGTTTACTCGGTGTCTGCTGGGGCCAGGCCCTGGGTTAGATTCAAGGGACACATGTATGAACACGACTTGGTCCCTGCCCCCAAAGCACTCACGGGCTAGTACTGTAATCAGAGAAACAAGAGCTTTCCCGCCCTGGCTTGGCTTGAGGAAGAGCTTCTGGGAAGTTCCATTAAACAGATGCCTCCTGACCTCACTGAGTGCTTTGATCACCGGCTCTCCTGGGGTGACAGTGGTTTTGTTTTGGTGATCACTCTTGTCTTCTGTGAGAAACCTGACTCCCGCCTGCTCCTGCTGCCTTCCCAGTCTCCAGGGGAAACAGCACAGGCAGGTGGAGTCTTGCCGTGGTGTTGCCTAAACGCCGAAGGTACCTGTTCTCAGGACCAGAATGTGGTGTGGTCAGCATTCAGACAGGGTGCCTCTAAGGCTTTTTAAATATTTTTATGAGAAGAAATAATAAGAAATACTTTTATCTCGCTTATCTAATTTGCCATTAGTTTTATTTCTTAAATTCAGCCATGATCCTGAAGACTAAATTTGGAATGTGGTTTTGTTGCACAAGTGGCCACTGTTTTGTTCAGCAACATCAGTGATTGGCTCGTACATAGGGTTTTTTTGCTTGGACTGTTGGATTGTTTGGGAAACATCCTGCTCTTGTTCTGGATGGGTCTCCATCCTCTCGCAGTCCAGATTCCAGGCTCCCCATCACCAAGCCGAGTCAGGAGACACAGCCACGATGTTGCCAGAGATTTCAACCTGTTGTCAGGAGGGAGCCCTGGCTCGCCCACATTCCACTGCCACTGAGTGACACAGGGTGCTTCCTGCTGGCCTGGGAGAACTTTCCTTGCCTTAGAAAACCCTTAGAGCATCCACAGGTCCCCACTCACTCTGAGGGCCAGAGGGCCATCCATTGCATTGGTCGTGACACTGACTGCAGCCCCTGGGTAGCAAGAATCAGCCTTCCAGTGTAACCACGGCAGCTGTCTGAGTAGGACTGACTAGCTGTGGCTGTCTGAGGAGAACTTGGAAAGGCTGTTCTTGATTGAACGGGAGAAAAGACATTTAGCATTCTCTTTTGCTGTTTCCCCCAACCTCCCTCAGAAGCCTTAGCTGAGCCCCCACTGCTGTGCCAGGATGTTGGTGCCTCAACCGTGACCCTCCCAGCCAAGCTGAGTAGGGCTGACCAGCCCTGCCAGCTCACCCCCATACTGTCTCAGCGTAACAGAAAGGGTGGGCTGTGTCAGAGGCACCTCCTAATGGCATTCTCTCCCCCGGCCCACACACTCCAGCCCATGCAGTGCTCAGCCCATGGAGCCATCACATTCCATCCTGTAAGCTCAACAGGAGGCTGGAGGAAGGGCTCGCACCACCCCCGCTGACAACCACAGCATGTGAGGGTCTGCAGCCTTTGATGTGACATAAACACCCCATGGCACAAGCCGACCCCAAATGGGGCCCAGTCAGCAGCTTCCCTTGTCTCCACAGACCTCCAGGATTTCAAGTTAGACGTGCAGCACGTGATTGAGGTGGACGAGGGAAACACGGCGGTCATTGCTTGCCATCTGCCAGAGAGCCACCCGAAGGCCCAGGTCAGATACAGCATCAAACAGGAGTGGCTGGAGGCCTCTCGAGGTGAGCAAGAAGGGTCCCCGGGGTCAGGAGGGAAGCTGGTCTCCTCCGACTGCCTCTGCACAACAAAACGCAGTAACCACGCCAATAGCCCTATTCCTCACACTGCTGCTTGGCTGCCTTCTCTCTTGGTGTTCAGCTCTGTAGAATCCTAAAGGCATGGGCTTCCACTGTGGAGGGCCTGTGCCCAATTATGAGGCATTTCTTCCTTCTCTAAGGTCCCAGAAGGTGTCGCCAAGCTGCTGCCATTGATCAGGACTCTCGGCACCCAGCTTCAGATTCTTCCGCGCATGGCCCTTCCTCCAAGCTCACACAGAAATTCTGCCCCACAAACCTGGCAATTCCCAGACCTTCAGGGGAAAACTGCTCCCCGCATAGCACCGTGTCATTTCAATAGAACTAGATTTTTCACACACACACACACACACACACACACACACACACTTTGTCCTAGTAACTGAGACACCTCGACTCTCACAGCATCTGCTGCTCCCTGCCCAGCCCGCGGTGTACCCAGCGTCTGGTCCAGGGGGTGACAAGCTCTGGTTTACAGGGTGCTGGGGTGCAGGGGGTCTGTCCCCCCAAAGTCCGTTTCTTCCCACAACTGCCCCTGCCAGACCCCATGGCTCAAAATGTGTACCTCTTATATCATTTTACAGATTTTAAAATATTTTTATTAACTTTTTCTGGTTATGAAAGGAATATATGTTCATTATAGAAATTTTAGAAAATACAGAAAACTGTTTTTTAAAAAAGGTAAAAACCCTAATCCTACCACTCTGAGATAACTGGAGACTGAGCTGTGAAGACCACTAATGCCCACTCCCTGTGGGCCAGAGACTTTTCCCGCTGGATATGGTGGCCTAGTCGCAGGCAGGCACCTGGCTGGGCGAGTCTGGAGTGTAGGGACACCACGGTTCGCAGGTAGTCAGTGCCTTGCCTGCCAGGAAGCTGAAAGCGACCCCCATCACTGGTGTCCAGGGAGCCGAAAGCCACCCCCCGACCCCCCACCCCACCCCCGTCACTGGTGCCCAGAAGCTAGGAATCTGCCTCCTGTTTCATGAACCTGAACACACCATGAGGCCCTACCCCCATGGAGCTGCTCAACCAGCAGCAGACAAAGCCAGCGATGCAGAGGGAAGAATGTCAGTGATAATCGTGGAGAGGGCAGTGGTTTGGGGTTAGAATATCCTCTCTAGTGACAGAACATCGATAGTGACGATGGCTCAAAGCCGGGACCATGGCAGTCCCTCTTTCCTGGTGGCTTCCAGGAGAGGTCAGCTCATCTCCCAAGTGTGTAGCAAAGGGGCCCTCGATCCTTAAAACAGCTCCACACATTACACCATTTCACAAATGAGGAAGCAGGATCAGAGAGGTTAATTAACTTGCCCAAGGCCACACAGTTAGTACCTGGCAGATCCAGAGCTTGACCCATGTCTGGCTGAGCCCAAACCTTGCCCTTTTCACCCCACCCCAGCTCCCATGGAAGTGTAAACTACTCTTCTGCAGACCTGTGTACTAACTCAGGCAGTTAGTCAGCTAGTTTGTGAGCTAGTTGGTTAGTTAGTTTCTCTCCTTGGCTCTTCACCCCCATTCGCTGCCAAGTCTTACTGGGAGAATAGCATTCTAGGTTTGGGCTTGTTGGGACTCAGGTGTACCTCAGTTCCTGGCTCCTGCCCAACCTGTCCCCTGACCCGTCACCTTTGTGGGTAACACTTAAGAAGGGGAGCTATTGCGTGCAATGTTCTGGGCCCTAATTCATCCCCATATTGCCCCCTTCCTGCCCTTTCCACAGATAACTACCTGATCATGCCGTCGGGGAACCTCCAGATCGTGAACGCCAGCCAGGAGGATGAGGGCATGTACAAATGTGCAGCCTACAACCCAGTGACCCAGGAAGTGAAGACCTCTGGCTCCAGCGACAGGCTGCGTGTGCGCCGTAAGGACCAGGCCCTGGCTCCTGGTGGAGGGGTCCTGCTGATGGGGGGCTTAGGGCCTCAGTCAGAGTGCCAGCTCTCGGTCTCTGGGGGGATGGCCATGGGGCGCAGGTCAGCAGGCATCCAGGACAGAGGCTGGGGCTCTCCCCTCCGGCTGGCCTAGTGCCAGCCTCACAGCTCATGGCCTGGCTTGGGCCGGTGACTGCTTGCTGGTCATATCAGCACTGTGGGGTCATCCCCTGCCTCCTGCCTGTAGACTGTGAGAGGGGCCTCTGGGATGTGTGTGCCAGGCGGGAAGATCTGGAGCTCAGCTGCCTACACAGCGTGTGCACGGACAAGATGAGGGTACGTTTGTACAGGGGAGTGAGGCCCAGGCCTGCCGGCTCTGCCCTGGGTGAGGCTGGGTTGGGCCCAGCTGACTCACAGGAGAGTTCACGGTGGCAGCACTGCTCCGCATTCATTCTGAGCACTTACCGAGGCTCTTTGTACGTTCAGTGGAGTCACATCTGACCACGGTTAGCTTTTAGAGTCAGGCGGATTTACCCATGAAGCTAATGAAGCTAAACTTCAGGGGCTCCTTCCTCTCCCAGGCGTTGTGGCTGGTTTTGTATTTGTAATTTCATATTCTTTCTCTTAAAGAAGGCATCCCAAACTGTTTAAGTTTCGGGTCTCATAAAACGAGTCTGCCCCTGCTTAGCACATGAAGGGAAGATCACACAGCCACACGTGCTCCGCTCCGTGTGGTCGCTGAGGAAGGCAGCAGTTGGAGACCGTCCTGCTGTCACTGAGTTCTAGGCAGTTTCTCCCCCAGCCCAGCGCTGGAAAACTTCTCTGCTCACTCCCCTGAGCACCTGATAAGTAGCTGATGTGCCTTTGTGGACCTGCAGGTAGGGGGCTGTTGGCACTGCGTCACCCTCATTGAGACCCTTGGCACTGAGACCCCTGGGCCTGGATCCCAGCCTCCGTCTCAGAGTGCGCTTACTGAGGGCGCGTCTCAGTGCACTTACTGAGGGCACCTCTCAGAGTGCGCTTACTGAGGGCATGCAGGAAAAACCACTGTGCCATTCAAATGGCCGCTCTTTCTCTCTCCACCCCTTTGCCTTTCTCTCTTTGTAAACACACAAAGTGAAATGTACATATGTCAAGTGTGGAGGATGCTGTTGTTGTTGGGAGCCTTCAAGTTGATTCCAACTCATAGCGACCCCACGGGGCAGAGTAGAACTGTCCCATGGGGTTTGCTAGACTGTAATTTTTATGGAGAGAGCCCTGGTGGCGCAGTGGTTAAGCACTCAGCTGCTAACCGAAAGTTGTAGGTTTGAACCCACCAGCCACTCCACTGGAGAAAGATGTGGCAGTCTGCTTTGATAAAGATTACAGCCTTGGACACCCTATGGGGCAGTTGTACTCTGTCCTGTAGGGTCACTATGAGTCAGAATTGACTAGACAGCAACAGGTTTGGGTTTTTTTGGTTTTAATCTTTATGGAAGCAGATTCTCAGGTCTTTTCTCCCTTGGAGCCACTGGTGGGTTTGAACACCAGCCTTTCGGTTAGCAGCTGAGCGCGTCAGTGATGCTACTCCACTGTATTATCCCAGTTATTACTCAGAACAGCTCTCTGCAGATGGAACTCCTTGTTTCAGGTAGGGAAATGAAGGCCCCAGGGAATTAAGTGACTTGCCACTTTATACAGATGGGACAGCCTCCTGGGGCTGCCCCCACCTCCGAGTGGGGCAGGAGGGCACCCTTTGCGAGAAGTCTTGGTCCCACGTGCTCTTCCCTGCATGCCCCTCAAGGCTCCACCGCAGAGGCTGCCCGCATCATCTATCCCCCGGAGGCCCAGACCATCATTGTCACCAAAGGGCAGAGTCTCATCCTGGAGTGTGTGGCCAGTGGGATCCCGCCCCCGCGGGTCACCTGGGCCAAGGATGGGTCCAGCGTTGCTGGCTACAACAAAACACGTTTCCTGCTGAGCAACCTGCTCATCGACATCACCAGTGAGGAGGACTCGGGGACCTACTGCTGCATGGCCGACAACGGGGTGGGGGAGCCCGGGGCAGCGGTCATCCTCTACAACGTCCAGGTGTTTGGTGAGTGTCCCTGCAGGCCTTCTCCTTGGCCCTCTCTCTGACCTGCATGGCCTTTCTAGAGGCACATTGCCTGAGGCTCAGAGAGGGTGACTGCCTGTGGAAGGTCACACCCAAGTGGTGGCACCCCCCCGAGGTTGCGTATGGCACAGGGTCCTAGCAGCCTCCATTCTCTCTCCTGCCGTGACTCGGATGGGGAGGCACGACACCTGTCCTCCCTGTTCACCTTCCCGTGAGAAAATGCCAACAGCCAAGGGGAAGGAGGGCACCTCCCCTGACCACAGGCCCCTCCTCAGCCCATGTGGCCCCGGGACGGGAAGAACAGCCCTTCTCACCCCACTCTGGTTTCCCACAGAACCTCCTGAGGTCACCATGGAGCTGTCCCAGCTGGTCATCCCATGGGGCCAGAGCGCCAAGCTCACCTGTGAGGTGCGCGGGAACCCCCCACCCTCCGTGCTGTGGCTGAGGAATGCTGTGCCCCTCACCTCCAGCCAGCGCCTCCGCCTGTCCCGCAGGGCCCTGCGCATGGTCAGTGTGGGGCCTGAGGACGAAGGCGTCTACCAGTGCATGGCCGAGAACGAAGTCGGGAGTGCCCACGCCGTGGTCCAGCTGAGGACCGCCAGGCCCGGTGAGTGCGCCTCGTGCCCCAATCCTGCCGAAGGTTCACAGAACGCGCTTTCCTAGTGGACTCGCAGAACCCCAGTGTGCAGAATAGACAAACTCAGTCTTTATTTGAAAGTTCAAATTTACATTAACTTATTAGTGAGTCAGAAGTGAATTAGTAAAAATCTAGTAATGACTCAATTAACTGCTGTATTAAAAAAAAATTTTTTTAAATTATGGAATGCTTTACATATTTGCGCACCACCCTTGTGCAGGGGCCATGCTGATCTTCTCTGTATTGTTCCTATTTTAGTGAATGTGCTGCTGAAGCAAGCACATACTTTTTAATTTTTTGAAAAATTCGTTTGCAGAATCTGTGGGCTCTTAGGGTTCCGTGGACTCCATCTTGACAACCACTGCTCTCACACAAAGCAAGCCTGTCCCTCTCAGCTTGACTCATTCAGTTGACATCTATACCAACTGAGCAGTTGCTGTGTGCCCATGCTGTGCTAGCTAGGTAAAGTCGGGGTGCACAGAAACATGTTGAGACCCCTCTCCTCAGGAACCTTTCTTGTGGAGCCCATAAAACCCGCCCAGGGAACAACTGGAGAAAAATACAACGACTAATGAATGCTGCCTCAGCATTGTCGAGTGCCGGCTTCCTGTGGTGGAGGAGGCCGGGCAGAGGGAGACTGGTGTGGGGGGGCTTCTGAGGGGGGCGCTGCCTCTCCTGGCCTCTCGGGTTCTCAGAGGGGAGCTGCAGTTGGTTTCATGGCTCCCATTTCCACGTCTCCTCAGAAGGGGAGGAAAAGGCCACATTGTGCCATGGCGTTAAGATCCCACGGTGAAAGGACTCATTCCCACTCCCAGCGAATGAAAGGCGTAGGGTCCCTGCACCTCAGGAGCAGAGTGAGACAGTCCACTTAAGACACACCTCGAGTGGACTCAGGAAAAAAGGCAGGTCTCAGAAAAGCTGGGCTGCCGCCTCGGAGCTGCGGGAGGAGCCTGGGCAGCGTGGTCCAGGCCGCCTTTCCTTCCCGGCAGGGCAGGGCAGGGCACCGGCCTGTCTTCCACAGAGCCTGGTTGTGTGTCCAGCAGGTGATGGTCGTCCCAGGCCCTGAGGGTGAGGGGCTCCTCCCTCCCCTTCTCTCCCTCAGGGCAGCAGCCCAGCAGAGACTAACGTGTCTCTTCTCCTCTTCTCTCTCCTGCTCTGTCCTCCAGGCACAACCCTGAGGCCGTGGCGAGATGCTAAGCTGGATGTGGCCACACCTCCCGCGCCACCTTCCAGACCTAGCAGCCCTGACCAGATGCTGAGGGGGCACACGGGGCTCCCGCGGCCCCCAATGTCAGTGCAGTCTGCTTCCCCACCGTGCCTGGGAGAGAAGGGCCATGTGGCTCCTGCTGAGGCCCCCGTCATCCTCAGCTCGCCCCGGACGTCCAAGACTGACTCGTATGAGCTGGTGTGGAGGCCTCGGCATGAAGGTGGTGGCCGGGCACCCATCCTCTACTACGTGGTCAAACACCGCAAGGTACAGTCCCTGACCTCCTCTCGGTGAGGCAGGGCCGGAGTCTCTCCGCCTCTGGCCACCTCCCCCTGAGCTTCTGCAGCCTGGAACAGCAAACCCAGCCGATCATGACCACTCCTGCCTCCTCCAGTATCCACTCCTCCCCACCTTCCAGAAATCTGGCTGTGAGATGGGCATTCAGGGTCCTCACCAAAAAAACTCAAACCATCTGCTGTCAAGCCAATTCCATCTCCTGGCGACCCCATGGAGAACTGTTCCATAGGGCTGTCAATGGCTGTGATCTTTCTGAAGCAGATTACCAGGCCTTTCTTCTGAGGTGCCTCTGAGTGGATTTGAACCACCAAACACAGACCTAAGCAAAGAGCTTCAAGTCTGAGCTCTCTGCATTTCTTTCCCAGAAGAGAAAGTAGGACCGTCTCGCTGTGAGGCGGCAGACATCCTTCCCTCTTTCCTGTCGTTCTTTGCCGACGTTGTTGTTTTGCTTTACCTTTTGAACACAGTAAGCTCTGATAGGCACACACCTGCAGGAATTCTGGCACGGTGAGCTCGTTCTAAAGCCAGGAGAACACAAGCAGATATTTGTGAGCAAATGTTTTCTCTGACGGTTGTAAAATAACCCCCTCAGTTCTCAGAATCCATCATGGGTGGGGTCGGACAAGCAGGCGTTTGAGCTGAAACACGTCGTGTCATGTAGATCTCAGCTGTTTCTCCTGACAGAATGAAGTCTGTCCAGGTGGATGTCCAGGAGTTGTCAGGGAGGGAGGCTCTGGCTGAGCCCAGACGCGGGGACAGAGCGGGCCAGCCCCATCCTTGTGGATACCTCGTGCCCTCCCTCCAGGTCCTGCTCCTGCCTGCTGTTGCCCCACAGGGGACAGGGACAGTGAAATTCCCTGTAAGACAGTGCTCGAAAACATCCCTGTTCATCCCAAGTGCGTACTGTTTTCTTTCTAAGGCCATTAACCAGTAACCAGTTGCTGTCCACTCATGGTGACCCCGTGTATGTCAGAGTAGAACTGTGCTCCGGAGGGTTTTCAATGGCTGATTTTTTGGAAGCAGATCCCCAGGCCTTTCTTTTGAGGTGCCTCTGGATGGATTCAAACCACCAACCTTTCGTTTAACAGCTAAGTGCTTAACAGTTTATGCCACCCAGGAACTCCTCCTAAGGCCATCAGACTGTAGGAAATGACTGTCCTTAAATAGATTTTAAATTTTACTTACTAAGTAATAGCATGTGTTACAAAATGTGGAATTTTATTATGCACTTATGCTACTGTCACTTACAGAAGTGCTACGTGCATTTGGTAGGAGATACGGAAAGTGGATGAATGTGTTAAAAACCTTTGTCCACTCTTCTCTCCCTCCCTCCCTCCCCACGCAGTGGAAAGCTTGGCTGCGCGGATGCCTCCCCCACCATGGACTCTGCTGGCCCCTCTCTTTCTCTTCTTCTCCTTCACGCACTCTCCTGGAAGACCTGGGGTCCAGACAGGCCCACAGAGACACAGGGGATGTCAGAAAGACACAGTGAAGGCAGAGCGGCCCCATCCTGCCCCCCTGCTGTCTCCTAGGTGGGGCGAGGGGGCAGTTTCCCATTAACCCTCAGCCTGCTGGTGAATGAGTTGTTAACAAAAAGCTGCATCGTTCAGCATAGGCGACGGGGCAGGCCTGGTACGAGCCCTCATTGTCCGGTCTAACTGTACACCTCCATCTCACACTTGTAGACAAAGATCAGGGCAGGCCAGGTGCCCTTGGCCTCCAGGAGACAAGAACCAGCGTGATAGCAAGAATAATATTTTTCAGGCCAATAGGTGGCACAAAACTGACTCACTGAGAGGCAGGTTGGCAAAGGCCAGGCGTGGGAGCCGGAGGTGGCAGGGGCCAGGCGTGGGAGCCGGAGGTGGCAGGGGCCAGGTGTGGGAGCCTGGAGGTGGCAGGGGCCAGGGGTGGGAGCCAGAGGTGGCAGGGGCCAGGTGTGGGAGCTGGAAGTGGCAGACTGGGGCCACATCACTCTCACGGAGCACGTGACAGTGACTGGTGACCCTCCTGTTTCATGTTTTCATTGCTGGGCTCAGGGACAGGGGTACAGGGAAGTGAGAGAACCTAGGCCCTGCTGCATCTGGCTTCTGCAGGCTTCGGCTCTGGGGCAGGTGGAGCTGTTAGGCTGGCGTTGCCAGGCAGAAATTATGTCTTGAAAGCAGTTCTTTTCTTAAGGGACTAACGCGTGCTAAAGATCATCGCACAGAAAGGATTTTGAAATCGAAGGTCAGCGTTCTGTTGTGTTTTTCCACTTCCCTTCTCTCTCTGGGGACTGGGAGTCACTTGGCCAGCTCTCGCTTTTTCAAGTGTGTGAGGCTGCCTTCCCTTCTTGGTGCATCTGCAGACCCTGGCTGCTGTGTTTGGGTTTCTAGCATCTCCGGGGAGTCTCAGTTTGTAAAGCGTCTCCCCTTGGAATCAATCCTGGAAGCCTGACCTTAATGAGCCCAGATATCCCTGTCCCTTGAATGGTGGGTTTTGTTCTGCTTCTGAATCCTTGGCCTGGGGATGAGAGCTCTCCTGCCAGCTGTTTTCTCCTTTCAGCAAACCTCAGCTCACTTCCTGCCGGCTCGCAGAGATGCATACCAAAAGGATGGCTGCTGTCAAGTCGACTCTGACTCCTGGCAACCCCATGTGTGTCAGAGTAGAACTATGCTCCACTGGGTTTTCAAGGGCTGATTTTTTGGCAGTAGATCACCAGGACTTTCTTCTGGGGTGCCTCTGGATAGACAAAAACAGCCAGCCTTTTGGCTAACAGCCAAACGCATTAACCATTTGCGCCACCCAGAGGTTCCATTGGCAGCTGAGTCTTTTGTCTTGAGAAATGGGTGGATGAGACGAGGGGCCTCTCAGCATCATGCATGGGGGAACCTGGAGCCCTTTTATGTTTTCCTTTAGATTTAAAGGGCTAGAGACTCAAAGCTGTGAAAGTCTAACCCAGCATACTTATACTTTATCCACAGCTTTTACGTCTTAAGCAAGGCCGGAGGGCAGGAGCAAAAAAAAGAGGAGATTGAGATGGCAGAGACCTCACGGGGAGGAGGATGCGGAGAGCTCAGCAGAGTGGGCAGGCGTCTGTTGGGAACCTATTTTGTGCCAAGTTCAATGCTGGCCACTTTACCTTTGCCACCTAATTGAATCTTCAGAATAACTCCAGAGGTTTCATTTGCCCCATTCTAGAAATGAAACACCACCCATCTGTCAGTTTGTCATACACTGGTGGCTTGAGTATTGCTGTGATGCTGGAAGCTATGCCACCAGTATTTCAAATACACCTACTCCTCACTTACTGACTGTCTCGTTATCTGATGTTTCACATTTATGACAATAGTAAAAAACGTACTATCCAACTCTTTTGCGCATTAACGACGTGTAGTCTGGCAGTAACGAAAGCCAAGGTGGGAGGTGAGAGTAACGCTGGCTGTGATGGTTAAAGTTATGTGTCAGCTTGGCTGAGCCATGATTCTCAGTGGTTTGGCAGTTATATAATTTGGCTGTGGTATAATTTGGCCATTATGTAATGATGTAGTCATCCTCCATTTTGTGATGTGCCATGGTCATCCTCCGTTTTTGCATAATGCTGATTTTTGCATAATGACCTGGTGTTTGGAACCCAATTATTGCAATAAGTGAGGTGTATCAGCAGGGTCACCCATGGTGGACAGGTTTCAGTGGAACTTTCAGACTAAGACAGACTAGGAAAAAAGGCCTGACAATCTACTTCCAAAAATTAGCCAATGAAAACCGTAAAGGATCACAACAGAATATTGTCCATTACAGTGCTGGAAGATGAGCCTGTAGGTTGGAAGGCACTCAGAATACACAATGTCCACTATAATGGACTCAGCATACCAACGATCACAAAGATGGCACAGGACCTGGCAATGTTTCATTCCGTTGTACATGAGGTTGCCATGAGTCAGAGCCAACTCAACAGAACTAACAACAACAACAGAAATGAAAAGTTTAGGGATCAGAGAGGTTAGGGAACTTGCTCAGAGTTGCACAGCTGGTAAGGGACACAACCAGGATTTGAACCCAGACTCTGAGACACTTTTTCTTTCTTGGATAGGTTATGATTATGAATATGTGCTTTAGAGTGAAGCTATGGTTTCCCACTCCCTAGCGTCGTGGCCTTGGGTACAGTATTCATCCCTCTAAGCCTCAGGCTCACTTGTGAAGTGGGTTGTAGTGAGGGAGAGTGAGGTATTGTGTATGAAGCGCTCAGCTCCATGCCTAGCACATAGTGAGCACAGAGCAAGTGTCATTTCTAGTGCTGCTGCTACTTTTACTGCCGTTCTCATCATCATCTCATTAGGACAAAAATGGAAGGAACTGTGTTTGGTTTAAATTGAGCAAGGAGAAAGAGTTAAGACTGGAGGGTCTCAGAAGTACAAGCTCATTGGAGACGTTCTCAGCGGACTTTTGCATTTTCTTTGGATGGCTCATCAGATGGGTGTCAGGGAGCCTGGTTCTACTGTCGCAGTGAGCATGGGTGTCCCCAAGAGGCAGGCAGAGATCTGCACTACCCCCTACCCGGCCTGTTCCTCTCCTTCCTGCCCCTGTCCTCTTGGTCTCAGTTTCCTTTCCTTGCAAACCACAGCCCACCAAGTAGGTGTGCTGGTCCTTATACAAACCACCTTCTCCAGCAGGTGACAAATACCTCTGATGATTGGACCATCTCCGGCATTCCAGCCAGCCAGCACCACCTGATCCTCAACAGACTCGACCCCGGGAGCTTGTATGAAGTGGAAATGGCTGCTTACAACTGTGTGGGCGAGGGCCAGACGGCCATGGTCACCTTCCGAACTGGTAAGGTCACAGGCTGCCCCCAGCCTGGGGTCTCCATGGGCCCGAGCAAGTCCTACCAGACCCTGGTGGGAAGCCTGCTCACCTTGCCCCAGCTGTTCACTTTGGACTTCACCTTTGCTTTCCGCTCCTTCCCGCTTGGCTTGTGTGCACAGGCCCAGGCCACACCTCTCATCAGGAGAGTCACAGCGGCCTGCTGGCATCCCTTTGCCCATCTCCTACACAGAGGCCAGCAGCAACACCATGGCAGTTCAGACGGAGCTGGGAACCAACACCATGCTCAGCGCCTTTGTTCTTGTTTGCATTGCCTTGGCTGATCCCTCGGCAGAGTCTCAGGCGAGAAGAACTCTGTGGAGAGGGAGACCTGAAGCGCCCTCCCTCCCTTGCTGATCTCAACCCATGTCCACCCAGGGCGGCGGCCCAAACCCGAGATCGTGGCCAGCAAGGAGGAGCAGATCCAGAGAGATGACCCTGGAGCCAGCCCCCAGAGTAGCAGCCAGCCAGACCACGGCCGCCTCTCCCGTAAGCCTGGTGGCAGTGGGGGTGGGGTGCAGGGGTGGGGTGGGGTGGGCAACAGTCAAAGAACTGGAGGCCAGGCCACTGCTTCCGAGTCACTGTTGCTGCAGGGCAAGTAGGATCCTGGTTCCATGGATCCAGGAGTCCTGATGGCATTCGCCTGGGATCCCCAGTTCACTGTGAGGAGAAAATAGAGATTGGAGTCTTTAAAAATAAAACTGGAGTCTGACATGGGTTGCCGGCTCTGTGGGTCCAGAGGGCTGCTGACCCTTGGGCCTGCCACGCCCTGGCTCCCCAGAAGTGCAGCTTGGAGGAATCTTAACTCAAGGGCTCCTCCCTGGGGCGGGGGAGGCTCACCAGTGGGTGGTCCCAGCAGCAGGAGGGGGAGGCTGTCGGGTTATGGGGAACAGGCGAGTCTAGCAGAAGACAACCATCATCTATCTCATCATGTACCCTCCTCCTGCTTCCTTCCCCCTCATGTCTGGGCTTTGCCAGCCCCCGAAGCCCCAGACAGGCCCACCATCTCCACGGCCTCTGAGACGTCCGTGTACGTGACCTGGATTCCCCGTGGGAACGGTGGGTTCCCGATCCAGTCCTTCCGTGTGGAGTACAAGAAGCTGAAGAAAGTGGGTGACTGGGTTCTGGCCACCAGTGCCATCCCACCCTCACGGCTCTCCGTGGAGATCACAGGCCTAGAGAAAGGTAGGGTCCTGGTCCCTCTCCCACAGGACCCCCGACTATTCCACTGACCACTCGGGGGGAGGAGGAGGGGAGGTTTGGAGGCCCCTCCTTCTGCTCCGCCCTCCATCTGCCATGGTGCGCACATGGGTGCTCTTTGTGGTGTTCACCTGAGTCCCATGAGAGGGTCTGGGCCCTTTCCTCTGGGATAACAAAGGGAGGTCTTGTGAGTCCTTTGGGGACAGGCTGCCCGGAAGACCACCCTGGTCCTAGGCCTTGAGGGACGTGGCGAAATCAGAAGGTGCTTCCCACCCGTCGGGCTCAGTTAGCATCTCTTGCTCACCAGGCACCTCCTATAAGTTCCGAGTCCGTGCCCTGAACATGCTGGGGGAGAGTGAGCCCAGCGCCCCCTCCCGGCCATACGTGGTGTCAGGCTACAGTGGCCGCATGTACGAGAGGCCCGTGGCAGGCCCCTACATCACCTTCACGGACGCGGTCAATGAGACCACCATCATGCTCAAGTGGATGGTGAGTGAGCCTGTGGGGTGCTGCTGGGAGAAGATAGCACTGGGTTTGTGCTGGGGCCCAGCTGGCTGCCAGCAGCAGGGGCAGGAAGGAATCACTCCTTCCAGGACACCTCCTGCTAAACGTTCCTCCACCTGTGTGCCTGGGAGCTGGACTGTCCACGTAGCACACCGGAAAGCCAGTTGTTTGGGGGGGTGCTCTATTAGCTGGAGCTCCTTTGGGGCCTTGACCACGTAGACCCCCTGAGCTGGTTCCCTTGTTTATGCTAGATGTCACCCTCCTTTTTGCTCTTCCTCACCACCACAGGGGATCCCAACACCATTGTTCAGAGTCCCTTTAAGCCAGAGATACTCACCCTCACAGTGCTCAGAAAGGTTCAGAGGGGACTTAAATCTTTGGAGAAATAGAAATTTGTTTCTTGTCTCCAAAAGCTTGGGGACCCCTAGGCTAAATAAAACACCGAACGGTCTCCACAGCACCCTTCCGAAAACCTCGGGGATGTAGATCCTCAGGAGGGTATTTTAGAGGCGAGGCCTCCAGTGCATGTCAGACTCTAGGCTGGGGTGAAATTGTCACAGATCAGTGGTCGGCTCTGATGATTTCTCTGCTCCATTGCCACTTGTTTCTCCTCCATCCCCTACAGTATATTCCAGCAAGTAACAACAACACCCCAATCCATGGCTTTTATATCTACTACAGACCCACAGACAGTGACAATGATAGTGACTACAAGAAGGATATGGTGGAAGGTAAGGAACACTGTGGGTGCCATAGTTTCCTCTGCTGGCGAGGGGGTCTGGGTGTTGGAGAAACCCAGTGAACATAAATCCTGGGTCTGGGTGACAGAAAGCACCTGTGCCCCATGTTATTGGCTCATACGTGACACACCTGGGGCTATCAAGTTCTTAAAGCGACATGCTTCCTTCTCATGATGATGGGGCCACAGGAGCCTGGGTGGGGCCCTCGAACGTCTCCTTCACTGGCACCACACTGCCCCCTGTGCCAGGTGCAGAGCCCTTGTCTGAGTCTGACCGCGTGTGATGCTCTCTCTCAGGGGACAGGTACTGGCACTCCATCAGCCACCTGCAGCCAGAGACCTCCTACGACATTAAGATGCAGTGCTTCAATGAAGGAGGCGAGAGCGAGTTCAGCAATGTGATGATCTGTGAGACCAAAGGTGGCGTCTCTGCTCTCTCGTCCTGCCATTTCCAGAAAACCAGGGAACAGTCGCTGTTCGCTGTGCCAGGCTGGGGATCTGTTTCCCGTGAAGACCCCTTACTTTCTGAGTAACCCCGTACTTTGTCATTTTTAACCCTTCTCATTTGCCTGTGCCTCATATTAAGGGAGCTCATCTGCTAACCAAAAGGTCGGCAGTTCGAATCCACCAGCCGCTCCTTGGAAACCCGACGTACAGGGCAGCTCTACTGTGTCCTGTAGGGTTGCTATGAGTCAAAATCGACTCGACAGCAATGGGTTTGGTTTTTGGTTTTAGGTTACCATCAAGGCGCCTTGGTGGTGCAGTGGTTAAGTGCTCGTCTGCTAACCAAAAGTCAGCAGTTCGAACCCACCAGCCACTCCATGGGAGAAAAGACCTTCTGATCTGCTCCCATAAAGATTCCAGCCTAGCAAACCCTATGGGGCAGTTCTGCTCTGTCCACAGGGTTGTTATGAGTTGGAATCCACAACAACTGAACAACCACAGGGCACCATCATGACGGTGCGAGGAGACCATCACAGCTACAAGGAGACTGGGGTGTTAACTCATACGTGAATTTATGGAATAGAACCCGTTCTTAAGCTGTGAACTCTCTATAAGTACTTTACTCCAGTAATACCATTCGGTACTTACGTTGTTGGTTCATTCCAGGGTTTTGAACCAGTTCATTCAGGTTCAAACCCCTGTTGAGAATTTGCATTTCTGCCCCCGGATATACTGAATCAGAATCTACATTTTAACAAAATCCCCAGGTGATTCGAATCATTTATCAACTACCTATCCCACATTTTGCATTTACTATAATAGTGAAAATCTACCATCTGACTATTTTGCACATTAACGAGGTGGCAGCCATTGTGGCAGCGGCTGCAGAGTGTCCCCTCCCTGGAGGAGGGTGTATCTGGGCCTCTGGGAAGCTGGGCTGCACTGTGCCGAGCCCTCCAGGGGCACCTCATCCAGCTGCCGCCACAGGGCCAGCCTCCTCCATGATGACAGCCAGGCAGCACCCAGCCGGTACGCCCGTTCTGGGTTCCCAGCTCTTATGCCGCCTGAGGCCCCACGGCTCAAAATTGCTGTGGGATGGGAAGGGAGGGAAGAAAGAGGTGTGGAGAGGGTGTTTGGTAGAAATGTGCATGAGTTTAATGACATCTTAAAGTGAGCCAAACTGGGCTTAAAGCCTCCCCCTCGGTGGGGCGGAGTGTGAGGCCAGACTCCCAGGGCCCTCGCAGGAAGTCCGGAGCCTCGGTGACTGGCCAGGCCCAGAGGGTAGAGCAGGCTCCACGATCATAAACTCAGGGCTTGCAGGGGTGGGAGGGGAGACCTGGAGGCGGCACAACAGTACCGAATTTCCCATTAGACGCAGATTTCATGCTGCACGTAAACACCATTCTAATAAGGGGCTTTGAGGCCCTGTCTTGTGAGTGTAATCCCATTTCCCACACCCATGGGATACAGGGCATTTTTTTCCCTGTTTGTTGTGAAGGAAATGTCAAAGAAACAGACACTGAAGTGAGTTTTATCCCCAATTATAGCTCGCAAGTCTTCTGGTCAGCCTGGTCGCCCCCCACCCCCAACACTGGCCCCACCGCAGCCGCCACCCCCTGAGACCCTAGAGCGGCCTATGGGCACTGGGGCCGTGGCGGCGCGCTCCAGTGACCTGCCCTATCTGATTGTTGGCGTCGTCCTGGGCTCGGTTGTCCTCATCATCGTTGCCTTCATCCCCTTCTGCTTGTGGAGGGCCTGGTCTAAGCAAAGTGAGTGAGTGACCCTCGTCGGCACAAAGGGGAGCCCACCAAGGGGGCCAGCACCCCTGGGGTAGGGTCAGCTGGCCGTGCCCCCTGGGAGCTCAAGCTGCTTGGTCCCCAGAGTCCCTGAGGGAGTCAGAGAATACTGCGGGACCAGCCCTTCCTCCCAGTCACACGCCTGGGCTGATGGAGAGAGCTAGGAAGTGGAAGTTGGCCCGTCCTCTCAGCACCTCTGAGCGCAGAGCTTCTCTGGCTCATCTGAATGTCTGATGCTGCCTCGCTGACCTCATGTTCATACTTCCTCCCAGTGTTTCCTCTTCTTCTCTGGTTCTGGGCCTGCTTTGAGCCTTCCCCCTTATCCTGGATTAATCTTTTATCCACTAATTTCTGCTTCAAATGGCAATGCCTCTGGTCAACTGGCTTCATCTAAATACTGCTCCTTCTGTTTGCTCAGCACCTCCTTCCCCTGGACTCTTGTCCTTCTATCTCTTCACCCTTCTACCCACTGCCATCAGCAAAAAGTCTAGCTGTCAGGAAGACGTAGGTGACGGGAGGACTATTCCAGGAGAGAATGTTCTCCATCCCTTCTGCAGCGGCGCCTCCTTGCCTGCCTCACTGGAGCCTGTGTGGTTAGGACTTTTTCAAGCCCCACTCCTCCTTGGCCTAACCATACCTCTGTCCTCTTCTTCCAGAACATACTACAGACCTGGGTTTTCCTCGCAGTGCCTTTCTATCTTCCTCCTGCCAATATACCATGGTACCTCTGGGAGGACTCTCAGGCCGCCGAGACAGTGGGCAGCCCTACCTCAGCGGCATCAGTGGACCGGCCTGTGCCAACGGGGTGCATGTGAACAGGGGCTGCCCCGCAGCTGCAATGGGCTACCCAGGCCTGGAACCTCAGCGGCACTGCCCAAGGAAGCTTCAGCAGGTAACATGCTTCTGGGTGTGTGGGCGGCAGGTGTGGGGTGCCTGTGAGGGAGTTTCTCCCAGCCCCCAACCCTGGGCTTTGGGGTCAGGCTTCTTTAGATAGGTATGAGCTCATCCAGCTGAACAGTGAACCTGGACTCCCTGAAGTGACTTTTTCGTTAATCTTACTTTTGAACAGCAGGATGACACCAACAGCCTGCTGAGGCAGACCATTCCTGGTGGTGGATATGACCCCCCAAGTCACCAGATGACCAGGTAACCAGCCCCTCCCTCATTCCTGCCTTTTTCTCCCAAGCCCTAGTTCCTCACTTTCTTTTTAGCTCCTCAAATCCAGCTTCAGTCACTGAAAGCTAAACAGTAGTGCTTCTCTTCAAACCCATAAAAACCAAGCCTGTAGCCGTCGAGTCGATTCCGACTCATAGTGACCCTATAGGACAGAGTAGAACTGCCCCGTAGGGTTTCCAAGGAGCGACTGGTGGATTCGAACTGCTGACCTTTTGGTGAGCAGCCGAGCTCTTAACCACTGCGCCACCCGGGCTCCCCAGATCTGATAACCCTGCTCCGTGGGGCCGTGACCCCAACAGGTAGTTGCCGTGTTTGCAGTCACCCTGCCCTTCTGCTCTGGGGCACATGCTGGCTTCTCGGCACCCTTCCCTCCTGGCAGGCCGATGCAGCACGTGCACCGACTGCCCACAGGCCTGGACTTCGTGTCCTCTCACAGGCTCAGGGCTTGCATGGCGTGAGATGGAAACGGACCACAATTCCCAGCTGACATGATGGTGTTGTACCTACTGATGTTCAAAGGGGAGTAGTCCCATCTCTGCTTCCTGACCGGCTCTGGGACCTTCCAGACAGGGAAGCGGCCAGAGGCAGTGTGGGGGTCCGGCCCCCTCTGCCCACCTCACCTTCCCTTCCGGTCTCACATGCTGCAGGACTCCCACGCCTAGCCCGGACTCAGCTCACCAGTTGCTCCAGCGGCAGCCTGCTGCCACTGAGGGCCAGTCGGGAAGGAGGAGTGCCGCAGGGAGCCCTGGGGTGGAGCCAGCGTGGGACCCTCTGTCTCACTCAGGTCAGTGCTAGAAACTGATAGGCTGGGGAGGCCGTGGGAGAGCTCCCATTGACCAGTGTGCCGTGGGGGTGGGGAGACAGCAGGCCTCAAAGGTGCTGATGGATAAGGAGCCGTCCATAGCTCTGATACAGAAAGGCCCGGGGCCTGCATGGTGGACGGCTACTTGGCTACACAGCTGAAGGCTCAGCAGATCAGCAGGATGCACCAGGTGGGTGCTACTCCAACATTGCAAGCTGTGGTCCCCCAAGACTGAGAAAAACAACATCCATTTCAGAGAGAAAAGCAGCCCCTTTGGTCTCTGCACTTCAAGGCCATTAACAAATTTCTCCTGCCTCCCATCACACTAGGAGGCATCCTCTAATTACTCCAGAATACCTCGCTCTGTTGGGTCTTGTCTCTTAATTAAGAAATAAGGTTGCTTCAGTCATTGAGGAGTCAGGTTCTTACAAACACCATCATAATAACTCTGTGTGCTTCCACAGAACTTTCTCTGCAAGGGACTGGAGGCTGTGCGTGCCACCCCCCCCCCCCCCGTTTGCCTTTGTGCCTGTCTCTTGCAAGTCAGGGGACAGTTGGCCTGGGCACAGGCTGGTTCACAGGACTGGCTCATGCTTCTCAGCCTCCATGGTATAGATGTCAGTTCAGATGCGTCCTGGAACCTGTCTCCGGGAGATTAAAGTTAAAAGGAGCCCAACCAGCATCAGTAAAGCCAGACCACCTTGATTTAGGGTGAACGGACCATGAGTGGGGTGGTCATAACCAGAAGCCATACCAACAGGGTGGACAAGCAGCCCAAGTATGGACAGAGTAGGGCCTTCTTCTACATATTCACAGGCTCAGCAGACTTTACCTGCCCTGGCAGTGAGGCTGGGCTGGGAGAGCCTCCGCGGTCCAGCACTGCAGTGCTCAGGTGAGCAGTGGGTAATAAGTGGGCCTCCCACACCTGAGCAAGACGTGGTGGCGACAGACAGCCCTGCCCAGCGTGGAGGGAGCAGGACCGTCCTTATTATGGTTGTAGGTTTGTCTCTCCTTTAGGGCCGGCGTAACCAGCTCCCAGCACAGAGGTTTACCTCGCGCTACCACTGGGGGCTGCTTCCTCCTTGGTGTGGACTTGGATGCTTCCCACCTGCTCTCCCCACAGGTCCCCCCTGCTGCCTGGGCCTCATACCGGTTGAAGAGGTGGACAGTCATGACTCCTGCCGAGTGGGTGGAAGAGACTGGTGCCCGCAGCACCCCATGGGGGCCTACATAGGACAGGAACCCGGGATGCGGCTCTCCCCTGGCCCACCAATGCATGTGTCTTTTGAAACACCGCCCCCCACAATTTAGACAGAAGCCAGCTTCCCGGAAAGACTATATGTTTTTGTTTTTTCTTAAAGACAGAGAAAATTGGTATTTATTTTTCTATAATAGCCATATTTATATATTTATGCACTTGTAAATAAATGTATATGCATCTTTATGATTCTGGAGAGACATGGGGAATCCTACCCCTTGAGGTATGAGAGGGAAAACACAGGAGCCTCCACATAACAGGCCAGTGGGAAAGCCTGAGGCCGACTGGCCAGGACAGACCCAGGTCAGCAGCCCTCCCCTAGGACTGCCACCATGCCTGGGAGGAGGGCAGGAGGCCCATAGGTCTGCTGGAGGGAGACGCCTAGGCACACTGTGCACGTCGACTAGAGGGAAAACGAGGTGCGCCACGGTCTCACAGACAGGAGACAGAGCCAGTGAGGGCAGACTGCAATGTGTACAGTGCTATAAGCATGAACAGACCTTCCAGAATCAATAAATTGTGGCAACACAGCTCTGTAAAAACAAACACTGTAACTTCTAAATAAATGTTTAGTCTTCCCTGTAACCTTCAACTTAGTCATGTATGAGTCAGCATTTTCTTTAGACGTTAGAGTTCCGTGTGTGAGAATTTGAAGAAAATACCCACTTGTGACATTTTCAGATCCATCAAGAGATAAGGTCCGGAAGAGGCAGCAGATGTTTCTAATTTCTTGTCTTTTTAAATATTGAGTGTCACTTATGTTTTTGTTAATACAGAACGCATCAGTAACTGCTGACTCCCAGGTAAGACACCGCGACAGGCAAGGGACGCAGAGTGACAGTTCTCTTCTGAACTGACATGAGATAAAGCTTTAGTCGGACTGAAGAAGTGAAATGAACTCTCTTTACATAGGTGTGTGTTAGAGTAAACGTTTTCTCCAAAATACCATTTAGTTAAGTGCTATACTATACCTGAATGTATGCAGCCTGATACAATTCACTTCCTGTCAATTCCAAAGATTCACTAGCATTGCTAAAGGGTTGGCTCACTAGCTGTTTAAAATTCACATCTACTTACTATTGTCCAACCCAAGAATTAACCATAGCTTCTTTTTTAAATCAAAATTTTAAAACCTTTGTGTGTGGGACTGGAATTGGATGGAGAATGAAACTTGAGCTGAAAGACACAAAACACGAAGGGAGCCCTTCATGGATTTCAGTAAAGTTCAGCTACAGATGAGATGCCACCTGAGAGACGCTCACTCGCCTTAGAGTCCTGCCCAGACCCTGGCTTCCTCCTGTCTCCAGGAAGAATTTGATAAACAAGATCCCAGGGAGCCTAGGGTGTCTGACTAGGACAGGTGCACCCTCTGCTGGCTAGAAGAAATATGGCATCTGCTCTTCCCCCAGATTTCTGCATCCTTTTCCCATCAAACAGCTACGTAGAGCAAGAAGGCTCATTGAAACTCAATGTGATTTTCAGAAAAGCAGTATTTAAAAAAAAAATATTTTTCAACATAAAATGAAGGCGTGTGAGGCACGTGGAAATGAGAGGAAAGAAGAAGTAGGGGAGGGAAGAGAAGAAACGAGAAGTAGTGACCTCAGGCACAACGAGCACTGAGGGCCCAGACCTCCCTGTCAAGAGTGGGGCAGGCGAATGGCCTGCGCCTGGCATTGCTGACCGGCCTTGGGATCCGAGCTGCCACTCACCCTCCAGACCATCAGCTTTTCCCTCCCTTTGTTTTCTTCCCCTTGATGATCTAAAGTACTTGTCAAAGTGGATTTTGGTGAACTTTATTGAAGTGATATGTAAAGTATCTGCTCTTTGCACAGCACTGGAACCATAATAACACTGAAGGATTTTAGCTCGAGAGAGAGAGAGAGAGAGAAGGAAAAAGTCCTGGGAAAGAGAAAGCCCTTCTGAGGCATGTTAAATGAGATAAATGTGTATATTTACCTCAGCCCATTTCAGGAAAGGGGGAAAATATTAAAGCATTAGGCTTTTAAATTTTAGCCCAGAATATGGAACAGCTCAGATTTTCAATTTCATTGAATTTTGTATTTCTTTAAATTCAGGTTAATTGGTTATTTAAGTTGGCCCCCACTAGACTTTATCATTAGAAATAATACCTTTTTAACACTTTGATTCAGTCAGCAAAGACTCTTTAAATTACTAAGGGGAAGAGTAAGACCTAGTGGGTAGAAGCTGGTGAGGGGCACAGCGTTTAGCTCACGACTCAAAGACCTCTCTAAGGACGGGCCTCTGTGCTGGGGCGAACTGACCGCAGCCTCGAGTAGCTCCTTTCCCCCAGGAAGCTGTGACAGGAGCTGGACTCTCCATTTTCTTTCTCTTCCAATGCTGAGATTCCATGATATTACAGACCTGGGCTCGAAACAGCGAAGTTATATTAACAGTTGATCCACAAGTAACTCAGTTTGGACTGATTTTTGGCTCACCCTCAGAGGGTAGATACAGAGAACAGTTTTGATCAGAGGAGAAGGATAGTGTCCACCCACCTCCTTTTGAGCTACTCCGATGGTTTAATTTTGTTTGAAGCTTAACTAACCAAAGTCTCAGGTGCCCACACTTAATTATAGATTCAAAACGAAGTCTGGAATCAAGTAGAAAAGAAACAAACTATATATATGTCTTGTCCAATTCAAAATAAAAACAACTGAGCATTAACTACACTGTCAAATTCCAGTCATGCCGGACGAAGCCCTGAATAATGTAGGCTTAAGTAGTGATCTAGCCTAGTTTAATCTGGGGGAAAACAATAGTCCTGATTAGTTTTACTGTGTAGGTTGAAACACACACGGAATTCTTGATGTGGCTCTTCCATAGACTCTAAATTCATTCTTGCTGCAATTAGACTCACAGAATTTCAGAATGGGAAGGAGCCTTAGAAGTTATCCAGATTCTTCATTTGTCAGATAATAAAATGAGGCCCAGGAAGATTATGTAACATCCCCTGGATCTCACAACTACCAAAGGGTTAGTATCTCCTCAAGATCTTAAGAGACCAACCCCTTTATCCCAGCAGTTGTTAACTGTGGACAGCCCCTCACCCGCAATGGCCCCCAATAAACCCTACCTCCTGGGATTCACTCCCTTTGTGGTCCCCTCCGCAGCACACCATGGTTGGTGTACAGTGGAATCCCCCGGTGGTGCAAATGGTTAATGTGCTCGGCTGCCTTTCAAGTCCGCCCACCGAAAGAAAACCATTGCCATCAAGTTGATTCCGACTCATAGTGACCCTATAGGACAGTATAGAACTGCCCCATAGGGTTTCCAAAGAGCAACTGGTGGATTCGAACTGCCAACTTTTGGCTAGCAGACTAGCTCTTAACTACTACTCCACCAGGGCTCCACATCCACCCAAAGGCACCTCAGAACAAAGGCTTGGTGATCTACTTCCAAAAAGTCAGCCATTGAAAACCCTGTGGAGCACAGTTCTACGCTGACACACCTGGGGGCGCCATGAAGCACAATCGACGTGATGGCAACTGGCTAGTGTAGAGTATGGCAGAAGTGCTGGTGTATCACTTCTGAGATAAAGCAGTAAAAGACCGGCTTCCACCTCAGTCACTCTCTTGCTCTCTGCCTCACTCTTGGATCACTCATGCTAGGAGAAGCCATGTTGTGAGCAGCGCTCTGGAGAAGCTACGTGGTGAGGAACTGAGGCCTCCTGCCAAACAGCCATGAGAGTGAGTCTGCAAGCAGCTCCTCCAGCTGCAGTCAAGCTTCAGATGGCTGCAGCCCTAACTCACAGCTGGACTGCAGCCTCCTGAGGGACCCTGGGCCGGAAACACCCAGCTATCCTGCTCCAGATTCCTAGCCCTGAGAAACTGTGTGAGATAAGGGTAGTTGTTTTAGGCTAAGTTTTGGGGTAATTTTTAGGCAGCAATAAGTAATCCACTCAGAGCTGTTCTCAGCACATTTTTTAAATGCTTGAAAGGTACACATAGTTTAGGGTAGACAGCAGAGAAAGTGGTAAGAGCGGGTTCTATGGTAGGGAAGCTGCTACATAGAGATGAATGGCAACAGGCACCACCCATAAACTATTCTGACCTTTTAAATACGAATATGAGCGAATCAGACAATAGGCTAAATGGCCACCTCCAAGAATTTTTTAACCTATAAAGAAAGCAAGTCCTGCCTATAGTTTTTGGGGGGCAAATCAGCAGGCTAGCAACAGGCTACAGATTAGGGAGACTTGACATTGCTGAGTTGCTTTGTAATTTACGCAATATTGTCTTCATCAACTTTTCCTCTCCATGACCCACTTGTATTCTGAGACAACCTCAGTGGACTAACTTGTTAACACAGCCCCAAAGAGCTCTGAATTCTGAAGTGTTACTTTGTATTTCTAAAGGAGCCTGGTTGCACAATGGTTAAGTACTCAGCTGCTAACCAAAAGGTTGGCGGTTCAAACACACCCAGCAGTTTCACAGGAAAAAAGACCTGGCAATCTGCTCCCGTAAAGATTACCTATTGCCAACAAGTCAATTCCGACTCTTAGCAGCCCTACAGCACAGACTAGAACTGCCCCATAGGGTTTCCAAGGCTGTGATCTTTACAGAAGCAGACTGCCACATCTTTCTCCCGAGGAGAGGCTGGTGGGTTCCAACCACCAACTTTTTGGTTACAGCCTAGTGCTTTAACCACGCCGCCACCAGGGCTCCTTCCTGTAAAGATTACAGCCTAGGAAACCCTCTATCCTGTCCGATAGGGTTGCTGTAAGTCAGAACTGACTCGATGGCACCCAACAATACAACCACCTTGTATTACTAACAGGAGTCCACATGTCAATGAGATCACTCCTAAATGGCTCCAGCCACGGACTTCAATGAGCACATGCCCCTTAACCAAAAGAATAGCCTTAAGCTAATTTTTAGTTTAAATGTTACACGTAATCAAAAGCGATTGCTACAGGTGATCTCTGAGTTGTACGAATCTATTTCATCATTTCCTGATCTAACTAGCAGATGCCTCAGCAGAGAGTTTGCTAAAACTATGGGTGATTGAGGGAGCTGGTGATTTTCCTGCTTTC